CCATCGGTGGATGAATGGATAAAGAATATATATATACACAATGGGATATTACTCAGCCATTAAAAACAAGGAAATCCTACCATGTGTGCCAACCTGGACTGACCTTGAAGGCATTATGCCAAGTGAAATAAGTCAGAGAAAGACAAATACTCTGTGATCTCATCTGTATGTGGGATCTAAAAACACAACAGCAACAACAAACTCACAGAAAATGAGACAAGATCTGTAGTCACCAGAGGCAGAGGGTGGAGGAGAGAGAATTGGAGGAAAGGGGTCAGAAGGTACAAACTTGCAAAGGACTAGTAAGTCCTAGGGACGTGATGTGTGACCTGATGACCACAGACAACGCTGCCGTGTGATATATAGGAAAGGTGTTAAGAGAGGAGTTCTCATCACGAGGAGAAAAACTTTTTCCTCTTTTCTTCTTCTTCTTTTTTTTAATTGTAAATGAGGAGGCAGATGTTAGCTGAACCTATGGTGGTAATCATCTCCCAATATACGTAAATCAAAGCAGCATGCTGTGTGCCTTAAACATGTAGAGTGATTATATGTTGACTGGGGGAAATCCTTAGAATAGGACTTCTGCTTTTGGTCACTCCATTTTTTTAATGTTTATTTATTTATTTAGAGAGGAGGGGAGGGGCTGAGAGAGGGGGAGGGCAAGAATCCCAGGCAGGCTCCACACTGTCAGCACAGAGCCCCGATGCAGGGCTCAAGCCCACAGACCGTGAGATCATGACCTGAGCTGAGATCAAGAGTCAGATGCTTAGCCGACTGAGCCACCCAGGCGCCTCTTTTGGTCATTCCATTTTGTTTTCACTCATCTGTTGATGGAGACTTGTGATGTTTCTATGCCTCGGCTATTGGGGAAAGTGCTGCAGTGATCATGGGAATACAGACATCTCTTTGAGATAATGATTTTATTTCCTTTGGATATGTACCCCGAAGTGGGATTGCTGGATCAAATGGAAGCTCTATCTTTAGTTTCTTGAGGAACCTCCTTTTTTTTTTTAAATAAAAGATTCATTTATTATTTCTGAGAGAGAGAGAGTGCGCGTGCACGCACACACAAGCGGGGGAGGGGCAGAGAGAGAGGGAGACACGGGATCCGAAGCAGGCTCCAGGCTCCGAGCCGGCAGCACAGAGCCCGACGTGGGGCTCGAACTCACCAACTGCCAGATCATGACCTGAGCCGAAGTCGGACGCTCAACCCACTGAGCTGACATTCCCACCACCGGAGTACAGGGTTCCCTATCCCCCATGTTATCGCCAGAATTTGTTCTCTTGTCTTTTTGATAATAGACATTCTAACAGGTGTGAGGTGACACTTCACTGTGGTTTCAGTTGCCATTTCCCCGATGAGGAGTGATGTTGAGCACCTTGTCACGTGTCTGTTGGCTATTTGTGTATCTTCTTTGGAAAAATGTCTATGCAGGTCTTTCGCTTCTTTTTAAACTGGATTATTTGTTATTTTGGCTGTTGAGTTGTACGAGCTCCTTGCATGTGTTGGATGTGAACCCCTTATGGATAGGTGGCTTACAAATATTTTCTCCTATCCCATAGAGTGCCTTTTTCCTTTGTCGATGGTTGCTTGGACTGTGCAGAATCTGACACCTTATGGGCCAAAAAAGTAAGAAAGGGCTCAAAGACTGATGGGAAGAGAAGCAAAAGACATCGGATCGAGCTTGACGGGCTCCCACTGGATAGATCTGGGACGATTTGTATAGCAAAACAAGAAAGGTAATATCAGATTGTATCCCACTGAACAAAAAAGGAATCCGTGAGGTCATGATGATATAAATAAAGAAATGAATAAATACGTAAGTGGAAGAGAAAAGGTGCCTTTTCTATATAGTGAAATGCCAACTAATAATAGACATTTATTGATAAATAAGTACCATATACTTCACAGTGGAGAAACCTGGTGGAAGCTTTCTAAATCAAGTGTTGAAGTTCAACATCCTCGGTGAGGGGGCAGGGTGGCACCACGTGACTTCCGATATGATGCCCCGAGGACACGTTATCTCACATCTCACTTCTGGGAGATTCCTGCTCCAGTGGCATAACCCGAATGGAATCATCAGGAAACATCAGGAAACCCACAACAAGGAACCATCTGCCGGGTGACTGTAGCGTTCAAAATGCCGTGGTCAGTAAAGACAAGAAAGGTCTGATGAACGGGTAGAAAGCCATCACCGCGAAGTAAACAGTGATTCTAGACCCTGGGACTCTGAAGGACAATATTTGCAAAGCGGGCGAAATCGGAAAGAGGGTTACAGCTGCCATGATGATATTGTGTGAGTCAGGTGAGCTTCCTGTTTTGATGATGTGGGAGAGCATCCTTGTCACTGGTAAAATCATTCTGAGGGATGAAAAGCTGACAAGGCATCATGTTTGCGACCTGCCCTCAAATGGTCCTGAAAAATAGTACGTTTATATACATCGATCCGCCTGTCTATCTGTTGAGAGAGAGAGAGAGAGAGGGAGGGAGAGAGAGAATGACGAATTAAAACAAACGTAAAATGCCGACAGCTGGGGAATCTGGATGAGGAATGTGGGATGGGAGTTCTTTGTGCTATTCTGGCCACCTTTCCGAAGGATGAAATGATAGAAACAGCAATAACATGGAGGCGGGGCTTGACTGGCACGCACAGGAGCAAGGGGGGGGGGCAGGAAGAGAAGGGACAGGAAGGGCTAGAGGTGCCGTGAGTAACTGAGGAAGGGCACCATCAGGGGGTGTTAGATTTCTTATCTGAGACTTGGAGAAAGATCACCCAAGAAACGGACTCCTAACCAGAGAGAACAAACTGATGGTGACCGGAGGGCAGGTGGCGGTGGGGGGACGGGATGGGTGAAATAGGTGATGGGGATGAAGGAGGGCACTTGTCGTCATGAGTAACACGTGATGTATGGCAGTGCCGAATGACGCCATCGTACTCCAGAATCTAATATTACACTGTATGTCAACTAACTGGAATTAACGTAAAAACTTAAAAAAAATTTTTTTTAATGTTTAGTTTTGAGAGACAGAGAGAGAGAGAGAGTGAGCAGGGGAGGGGCAGAGAGAGAGGGAGACACAGAATCCGAAGCAGGCTCCAGGTTCTGAGCTGTCAGCCCAGAGCCCGACGCGGGACTCAAACCCATAAACCGCCAGATCATGAGCCGAAGTCGGACGCTTAACCAACTGAGCCACCCAGGCGCCCCTAAAATAAAAACTTAAAGGAAAAAAAGAGATCAACCTGCTTTCCTTGCTTTGTTTCATTTAATCCTCCAAACAGCCCCGTGGGGGTAGACACTAGGTTTATCCTCACTTTATACAGAAATGGGGGTTTCAGAGATTCATCCATTCAACCAGCATTTACTGAGTGCTTGCTATGGTCCAATTTTACCGCGGCTACACGAAAAAATGTTAAGCGTGATTGCGCGTGTGTGTGTACATTTAGGAAACAATCCAGGAAGGAGATGCACTTCAACATTAATGTGCTAAGAGAGGCTGTCTGTAGGCAGTGGGTCCAAGTGCTTCCGTTTTCTTCTTTGGCCTTTCTAGATGTTTCCAGTTTTCTGCAGTGCACATCACTGCCTTGGTGACACGTCAAAAAAACAAGTCTTCTTTCTTTTTTTTTTTTTTTTTTAATTTTTTTTTTAACGTTTATTTATTTTTGAGACAGAGAGAGACACAGCATGAACGGGGGAGGGGCAGAGAGAGAGGGAGACACAGAATCGGAAACAGGCTCCAGGCTCTGAGCCATCAGCCCAGAGCCCGACGCGGGGCTCGAACTCGCGGACCGCGAGATCGTGACCTGAGCTGAAGTCGGACGCTTAACCGACTGAGCCACCCAGGCGCCCCAAAACAAGTCTTATTTCAAAGATGGAACTGGAGGAATTTGGAATGACAGCATTTCTCACTGTGATATTGTTGCAATCAAGTACGGTTTTCGATGCAGTCTCATTTTACCAAAGTGGCAGACAAATGTTTCTTAATTCCGTTCCGCCTCCTTCTCTCCACACTGCAGAGAGGAACCGGCAGGTGTACCAGTGGAAAGCTGACTCCTCCCTTGACTCTCAAAGCCTGGAATTCGCCATATTTTCTGTGTGGAAACGTACGCCCAGGGCAGGGGGACCTCCTCCTCCCCAGACAAACATTTTCCAAACCTCCATGATACCAGTCGCTTTGCATAAAGGAAGCGTGCGCACAGAGTAGGTCCCTGATTGAAGGGACAACACTAGGGTCCAAAAAGAGTGGCCAGCCCGATGGCGTCACTGTGTCGCCAGGTGGGACGCCCATTTACTCAGGGTACTGTCTTTTATTTTTATTTTCTAATGTTTATTTTTGAGAGAGCGCGCAAGCAAGGGAGGGGCAGAGAGAGAGGGAGACGGAGAATCCAAGCAGGCTCTGGGCTGTCAGCGCAAAGCCCGATGTGGAGCTTGAACCCACGAACTGTGAGATCATGACCTGAGCTGACGTTGGGCTGCTTAGCTGACTGAGCCACCCAGGCGCTCCCCACTGCCGTCCCCCCGCCCCCACCTTAGGATGTTTTCTGACTGGTGGATGCCTTCCTCCCCTTTGCTGCCCAAGCACCACGGGCCCCAGGGCACCCCTGTGCCTGTGTGCCTCCCAGAGCTCAGAGAACTAGCTTTGAAAAAAGCACGTCCTCAGTCACCACTGCCGGATTGAACTGATTCCCGCAAGCAAATCTGGGGAAACGCGTGGAGTAAACTGGGTGCATCCCTGCTGTGGGGTTCAGTGCAGCCATCAGAAACAATGCTTTAAACTGATCTATTCACCTGGGAAACAACAACAACGACAGGAAAACAGCTGAAGTCCACCTTTGTCACCATCGTAAATATATACGGGGAAAAAAAAAGCAAACTAAGAGAAAATACATCGAAGAATGCACAGTAGTTGTCTTTGGGTGGTGAGATTATGGGTGATTTTGGTATTTCCTTTTTCCCTTTGTGTTTTTAAGCTGTTTAAAAAAAATTTTTTTTATTTAGTATTTTTGAGAGACAGAGCCTGAGCAGGGGAGGGGCAGAGATCTCAGTTCTACTGCCCACAGCAGTTCCCCAATCCTATTTCCCCGCCAGGGCTCTGGCTGTCCCACCCTGAGTTCTCTGTTCCTCAGGGTTTCCAAGCACCTAAGCCCTGCAGCGGTCAGGAGGGGAGGGGAGGGGAGGGGAGGGGAAGGTGGGGAGGGGCTGCTGGCTGCTGATTGGCTCCCCACTGGGAGCGAAGTCAGCAGCGGAAATCACTGCTTCCAAGTTCACTGGTGGTGGGAGCTGGGGCAGGGGCTGCCTGGGGTCAAGGGGCTCTGTTTACAAATGCTAATGCTCACGAATCTGAAATCCTGTCTGGGCCCAAGGCCTTCACAGGTAAACTCGGTCCCGGTCTTCTGGAATGTCCCATTTGGCTCATTCGTCTCCTTCCCACCAGGGAGAAGTTCTTGGAGAAGGTTCAAGGCCCGGAGGGAACTCAGCCCGCACCGCCTTTAAACTCGCTCACCCCCACGTGGCTGCACGTTCCGTGGTGGTCACGTGTCCGGATCTGGCCACGAGACCCAACCTGCCTCCGCTCGGGTCGGCGCGCCTGGCAGGTCACCCCGGCTGGGTCCCGCATCGGCCCCCAGGGGCCCGAGTCAGAACCCCGCAGAGAGTTCTTGCTCCGCCGTGGAGGGCGACATTGAGCTGGTCCTCTCCAGCCTCTCCGCGGAGAGGAAGGGGAGCCATTTGGCCAGGCGCGTGGCCAGGACCCCGTGGAACAGCTGGCGCAGGTACCTGCGGAACCTCTCTCCCACGAAGGCGTAGATGACGGGGTTGACGCAGCAGTGCGTGTAGGCGATCACCTCCGTCACCTGCATGGCCACGTCCAGCTGTTTGCTCTGCCGACACTCGTCGGTGAAAAGGGTGTCTTGGAAAGCAGAGACCAGCATGGCCAGGTTGTAAGGGGTCCAGAAGAGAAAGAAGACGATCATGATGACGAAAATCAGGCGGACGGCTTTGGCCTTCTTCTCGTTGGGTCGCCTGAGCAGAATCCTTACGATCTCGGTGTAGCAGACGATCATGACCAGCAGAGGCAACACCAGCCCCAACGTGTTCAGCTTCAGAGCCTGGAACCGTTTCCAGGCTTTTAGGTTTTCGTGAGGGAAGTGGAGGCTGCAGGTGATATGGGAGAACTCCCGCTGGGTCTTGGAAAAGTAGAAGCCCGGGACGGAGGCCGAGACGGCCAGGCTCCAGGCCGCGGCGCTGCTGAGGACGCCGAAGAGGACGGTGCGAACCCGCAGGGCGAACACGGCGTGCACGATGGCCAGGTACCTGTCCACCGTCAGCAGGATGATGAAAAAGATCTCGCTGTACAAGCCTATGTAATAAAGCCCCGAGAGCAGCTTGCAGGTGCCGTCGCTGAAAATCCAGTCATCCTTCAGCTTGTAGTCAATCCAGAAGGGCAGCGTGAAGAGGAAAAGCAGGTCAGAGATGGCCAGGTTGAGGAGGTAGATGCTGGTCATACTCTTGAGCCTCTTGTACTGCATCAGGACCAAGAGCACCAGGATGTTGCCCACCAGGCCGACGACGAACACCAGCGAGTACAAGGGGGGCAGCAGCTGGGCCCCGAAGGCCCTCTCCTCCCCCTTCTGGCACGGGGTTATGCCCTCATAGTCATATTCTGTCGTCACGTCAAAGTTCTCTGTCGGGACTGTGATTTCCGTGCTGGCCTCTGTCATCCTGGAGCGAGTCTCTGTTTTCTTTGCCGTCAGAGGGCGGCGGGCCCTGGACAACAAAGACGAGGCAGGGATGATTAGAAGCCTTCAACCACCTGACAGCTGTTTTACTGAGTGCCTACTGTGTACCAGACCCCGGGACACAGCACGGAGTAAGGGGGACCCGGGTCGACTCTGCCCTGGTGGAACCTGGAGCCTAACGGGGTCGGGGCGGGGG